TGTGTGTGTGTGTGTGTGCATTTAGATTAGCTTTTGTCTCTCATTGAGAGAAAGAAGAGAGAATCTGGTCTGCCTGCTCATTTTTAGTCTTAAAGAGATCAATTTAAAAGGGACCTGTTATGCTTTTCCTGCTTTCTGTCATTGTCTAATCTGCTGTGATGGTGGGTGCTCACATCAAACATGGCCTAAGTTTGAAATACTGAGGTCAGCTTCTGAGTTGTTCCTGTAAGCCAAAAGCTCAGGCTTTAGGCTGCTCCAAATACTGAGCAGAATTTTTTTTCCCAACTCCTTTTGGATCTCTATGACATCTAAGCTGGTGGTCAAACCTTTTGTTTGTGAGGGGCAGCCAGTCAGAATAAAGTTGAAGCAAATAAAACTGCTTGATTCCAACAGGGGATGAACTGAAGGCAGCACCAAAGCCACACAATTCTGAATTTAAAAAAACAAAACATTGCACAGCTGGACATGAGCATAATAGGTCCTCTTTAAGGTCGGTTTCAAGTCTTGAGCACTGGAGCTTGTTTCCCAAGCATCTGTTTTCACATTTCCAGCACTGCAGAGCTTCTTCTGCTGGACTGTTTGTCTTCTAGTTTATAGCAAAATGACCCACTGTAGAAAGAAACACACTGTGGCCTTAGCTTTGGGAGATCGGATGCCTCGGGAAGAGAAATTGAGACTGTTATTCAATTTAAATTCAATCCAAATTCAAAATTACAATTCAGCAATGACAGTTACCTATGAGTTACCCTTTTTTTTTTTAATGAATTTGAAAGAATTTGAACTCACCGTAGCTCTGCTGGCTCCAGCAATCCTTCCCTAGTGATGTGTATTTTTGATATACATAAAATGCCAACATGTGCTTGAAAAACTACCAACTACCTTTGCCAGTTGTTGGTATAAGAAACTGATCACTTCTTTTTTCTTTTCTTTTTTGTTTTAATGAAGTTGTCACGTTATAGAGGGGTGGTGTCACTACAGCTTTTTTTAATAAATGTCCCATGCACAACGGATAATCTATGTTAATCTATGTCTCTCTGAAGCTGGTAGTCGGAGCGGCTCCCCTGGTCGCGTGCTGACGAGCACGACCCTGAGCACCATGAGCACCGGGGCTCACAGGGTGCTGGCTGGATCCACCGGGGATGGACACAGACGCAGCCGCATCCCCCGCAGCCAGGGCTGCTCCAGAGACTCATCACCCACTCGCCTGTCTGTGGGTGAGTGCATTAACGTGCTTTGAACTAATACTGTTTTTCTATAAATTAGCTGTGCCTGCTTTAGAAACTGCTCAAGTGTTGGGTGATATTTTGTGCCATCAAACTCAGATGACCAGTCTCTGTGATTCCCTGTAAACGTGGATCTAAACTTGCCTTTTTCCCTCCTGCTCCCTGTCCTCCTTTTCTTCCTCTGCTCCTCTCCTTTTTCTCTGTCCTTGTTGCTTCTGTCTCGTAGCTCCTTCTAGCATTAGTTCCATCTACAACGGAGCAAGCAGAGGAGGTAAGGCTTCGACCTCGACTGGACCCTTGTGCTACCCATCAATCCACCTCAATGTGCCTATTCTCATCCTCACTTTAACCTCCATCTCCTTACACCATTTCTATCCATGATTTTTTTTAAAAATTCCTCGATCACGGCTGCCGTCACAGTCAGTCTCTCCCATCATCAGTCGCTGCCTCAGCTTCATAGATTCCATCGTTCTAACTTGTCTGTCTTGGCTGTGTCGTTATGGTGATGGGTGCCTGTGATCAGCACATGTTCACGGATTACGAGTCATACCTTCCCCCTCTCCTTACTAACCTGTTTTAGTGGCTGGTTGAAGAAAGCTTCACACAGGATCAGCGACGCTTCATCTCTGCTCGGTAGACCGTTGGTAGCCCGTGATTAATTCTGATTTGCTAGCTGGATGCTGAAGCTGATGAACGGAGCAATGAACAGCGAAGTTGCAGTGCTGCTGAATGAAACACAGCCCTTTCCCTCAGCCCACCCGCTTGATTGCTGCATCTCTTTCTCAATCACTTTTTCTGTCCGTTTGTCTTTGTGTGTGAGAAAAAGAGACACATTGAGCACCTGTGTGTATCAGACATCTCTGAAGGTGAAAATCAGTTAATAAGAACTATTAGATGAATAGAAGAAACTAAATGTGCAGAAATTTCAATTATTTGTTTACATGTAAGTCATAAACTCTGAAACTAACAAATCATTCATGTTTTAAAGACAAATTTGGGTTTTCTTTCAGTGTTAAGATTTAGAATTTTTTATTCTGTTAAAGGACACAACTGGAAGATTTTAGACTCTTGAGGGTGTGATACCAGTAAATAATACCAGTAGATTAGCTGATAGATATGCGCTCACACCTCTAAGATGGTTTCTTAAACATCAGAGGGGGGGGGGGGAACCTGTGCTCACATTTTTCTTGTTTTTGTCAGTTTGTCACCTGTTCTTATTCTGTCTTATTTATGTCTTTATGTACGTGCCTTCCTCTTTGACTTCTTTGTCACTGCTCATGTCTTTCTTTATGTGTACTTTTTCTCCCCTTTCCCTTTTTCCGTTTTCTTTTCTGTCTGCACTCCGTGGTTGTTACCTGGGTGGCGTTAGCTCGGGGCAGTCGTATCCCGCGGCCCAGTATGAGTCAGGGCTGCAGCAGAGAGGCCAGCAGAGAGAGCAGCCGGGACACCAGCCCCGTACGCTCCTTCACACCTCTTGGTGAGTAGCAGCAGCAGACAGATACCCGAGAGGAATTAGTAGGATATCCGAGGAAAAGAGTCTGACTGTATTGAAGCTTTACTCTTAGCTCTTAGATTAAAATTGAATCCAGTATCGGAAAAAAAAAAAAGTCTCAAACACGCATGCGTCAGGAAAGTAGAGAAATAACACCTTTATGTTTTTCAGTCTTTCTTTCTATTCTCATGCACTACTCGATAAGTGTGAGTTTGTGTGCTCTTAGTTGTCAATCCTAAACTCTGTGTGTGTTTGTATGTGTGTGTGTGTTTTAATCTTGGTTGCAGCAACGCGGAGCTACTCTCGCTCCACCGGAGCTCTTCACACACCTGATGCTTTTGGGGCTGCAGGTGAAGGCTGAGTACATCTTTCTCCGTCCCTCACCCACCCAACCACTTGACTTGATTTTCTCTCTGCGTTTTCTTTTTTTGTTCTCTTTTAGTTGCAGTTCATCATCTCCCACATTTTACAAGCCCGTTTCTTTCGTCGTCCATCAGTTGATTTTTGATTTGTTTTGTTTTTTTACGTTCTGCTCCAGGATGTCGGGCTCTCCAGTGGAATCGCATGTTTCCGCCCGTTCAGTTGCCAGTTTATAACCATTCTGCTGGTTTTATCAGTGTCTCTTTGTCTTCTTTATTTAGCTGCGTCCCTCCTCCACAGGGACGTCAACATGCTCTCCTGCGTTTTATGTCAATCATGCTTTTTTTTACCCCCAAGTGCCATCTGCAATGTCACCTAACGCATCATCGCATCAACTTACAGGGTTGTCTCGTGGGAAAGTGCCACGCGTGTGTGAGTTGTGTGAACGTTAGCGAATGGATGATCAGGAGAATGACATCATTTGTGGATGAGTGCTGAGTGTGTGCGAACTTGTTTTAATCTGAAGTTTTGCTAATGTATTTATTCTGCTATCTTTCTGTCCATCCTTCCTCTCTCTGTCTGCAGGATCAGGTTTTGGAATCAGTCAGTCAAGCCGTCTCTCTTCTTCAGTCAGCGCTATGAGGGTCCTGAACACTGGTTCAGATGTAGAAGAGGCTCTCGCAGATGCACTGGTATGGAAACTCAAATTCTAACATAGCATTGTGCACAACTAACTAATCATAGCCGTTGTGACTAGTCGGTACTAGACTTACTAGCCGTTTAATCTAATTGTTTGATATTTTAATTGATGCCCAGTGCCGTAAATTATTGTCCTAAATGTTATGCAGCCATCTGCCACCAGATGGAGCATTGTTGTTGAGAAACACCATAAATCTGTTATGCTAGGCCTGATCTTTTTGTTAACACTATTTATTTACTGTTTGTTTTTCACGTTCTATTTAAAGTATAACGTGCAGTGTTCTTAATGCATGATGAAAGGTCACACCAGGTTAAGTGACATGATCCATTATTGAAAAATGCAATTAATGGTTTTAAATGCCTTTGTTTATAGAGTTTTTTTACATTGTCCATTAAACAGTTTTCAAATTTAACGTAATATCTGAGTCTTTCTTAGTTTTAGACTCGTCGGTTACACTAGTCTAAGAAATTAGTCACCAGGAACATCCTGGCTACAAACAGTGCACGTTCCAGTATCCTGCCACTAGCTCCTACACTGTGTGTCTGTGTGTTAACTAAACCCTGATTCTACCTCTGTTTAACGCTGTCAGCTGTTGGGCGACATGAGATCCAAGGTCAGCTTCTTTTCCTACCTCTTACCTGTGTGTGGGTGTGTGTGTGCTTGGTTTGTGTTCTATCAAGATGTGCTAGTGCATGCTTTCTTAATGTCCTGCTTGTTGGTTTTTGTTTTCATTGTAATGTCATGCCCTTTCTGTTCCCTGCAGAAGAAGCCAGCACGGCGACGGTATGAGAATTACGGCATGTACTCTGACGACGATGCCAACAGCGATGCATCCAGCGCCTGTTCAGAGAGATCCTACAGCTCCAGAAACGGAGGGGCCATCCCCACCTACATGAGACAAACAGAAGATGTAGCTGAGGTAAACAACAGCAGCAGGAAATAGATACTGTGATGGGCAGCTTTCCTAAAACCTAGGTCCTTAGAAAAAACTTAAATGACTTAAGTTAAATTTAGATGGGTTTGAAGTTTCACAGAAGGGAACAGTATCATTAAGGCGCTCTAGTTAAAGTTTGCAGAGCAATTTGAATGTCAGGTGGAACCTCAAGGTTTTCTAAGGAGCATCCATCAATCTAGAAATTACTGTTATGCTTGATGCCTCTGGATAAGGCTGCAGAAAGCCACTAAAACGTTGACATAAGGGTCAGGCCATACCGACCTTATGTGTCAACCAAACAGCGCACACTGAAAACATGTTAATGGAAAGATGCGGTTCCATTTGGTTTTAGAGTAATGCAAGCTGTGCATCACCTAAATCAGTCTTTAATTTGTGTTGACAGTTGTGATTAAGGGGCAAAGATTCTTCCCAAAACTGTGCTGACAATTCTGTGTTCTGGTCCTTGGCTTCCTGTATAAAAGCTGAAGACACAGGAGTGTGTAAACAATGAAGTAACTTTGATATTTGTTGTTAGGATTTTTCATGCACAGCACTTTGGTCAACTCTGCTGTTTTAAATGTGATATATAAATAAATTTGACCTTTGTAGAGAGTACCAAGCGCTCTTAAAGAGGGTGTTTACCTGAAATGGTTTCTATTCTGTTTATGAAAACTTTTCCTTAACATAGTGTGCAATTTGAGATAATGAAAAAGTGAGAATTTGGAAGCTTGTATTTAGTTAAAAACTTTGGAAATTATGCAGACCGTCTTTATAGTCTATATACAGATCTGCCAGGGTCACAGTACCTTTCCCGCTCCAGTTCATTTTGAGCACTAGAATTTTGCAGTGAAGATATTCCTACCCAGAATCAGTGAGTGAATATGATCAGTGAGGTTTATATACTCATGTCTCCTGTGCTTAAATCTGAAAAGCCATTAAAAACGTGTTACTTCAATATTAAGCTGAATATTTATTACGTGCATGTATTGAATCTTATTCTTTCCTCCAGGTGCTCAATCGTTGTGCCAGTGCCAACTGGTCTGAGAGGAAGGAGGGTCTACTGGGCCTTCAGGCTTTGCTTAAAAACCAGCGCACCCTGAGGTCAGTGTCAGGTCACTCAGGCGTGTTTGCAGTTAATAAAGTCATAGATGATTTCCAACTAACTGCTGCTGTTTTGTCTGTAGTCGGGTTGAGTTGAAGAGGCTCTGTGAAATTTTCACCAGGATGTTTGCTGACCCTCACAGTAAGGTATGGATGCATGCAGCATAAACCCTCGCACAAAGACGCACTGCATTCATTTGCAGTACCGTGGCACAAGATTCATAATTCACCTGCTTTAATTTTACTTTTTCAAATACTTTGTTTATCCCATCATCCTTGACTGTACCGGATTCTGCCAAACACAGAAAGTGTTACACCGCTTTAAAAAGCACACACACACTTTAGCTGTCACATCTTTCTAATGAATTTAGTGAAAAAGACGGGATAAACAGGTCAAAATGTTTCCTCAAATTTACTCACACTCAGACATAAACACGGGCATGGAACGCGTGCATTGGACTGTTTTCTAACGGCATGCCACACCTGAATGAGTGTGCCATCACGCTCGCCGCCGTCCTGTGGGATTGTTCTGTCACTGTTGAGCAGCCAAACTGCTGGCTGCACTCTTCACACCCGCTGGCTCTCCCTTCTCTTTTCCCCTCCTCTACCTGCAGTCTGAGGCAACAACACTGACCGCTCACACACTCAAAAGCACACACGAACACACACACTCGTACATATTTGGGCTGCCCGCTCTCTCCTCTGACTAACAAGCTGCGATTCGGCCTCTCTAACACTGCCACTTCTGTTCCACCGTCTTGAGTGCTCCGTTTTCTCACACATGTCGTAAGCTGTGTGAGCTCCTCCCCCTCCCCCTCGTTTGACGTTTTGACGATTTGATGAATTTCAGCGAGACTCCGGCAGGGTGTACGGCACGGCAGAATCCGGTATAAGCTCAGCCTCCTTCAAGGTACTGCATCTCACCAGTGATCTCCATCTGCCTATCTCACACCACTCCTTTTCGTACTCCTTCCTTCTTATCTCCCATATTTTTCAGTGTTTCTTTTTAGCCTTTTTGCACTTACACTCAAGTTTCTCCCATGTCAGGGAGAAGGTAAAATTGGTTGTTGCTCAAATGTGTTTGAAAAAATTGAAGATGCTGAGTGTACTCTCTGACACTGAGTACATGCTTTGTGACGATGCTAACAGATGTCTCTCTCTCCCTCATGCTGCTCCCACCTCTGGAACTCTCTGTAGAGAGTAAGTCTGGCCAATCAGTGTTTGTGTTTGGATGAAATCTGCTTCATTAATCTGATTGGGCATTGAGAACTACATAACACTTACTAACCTACCTCACTTAATGTTGTCCGTAGCTCCACTGTGCTGCTGAAATCAACTGGTGGCATGTAGAGATGGTCCCCACATGTTGTGATTGGCTTGTTTTCATTTTGTGTGATTTAAGTGTGTTACTTGGTGACTGGGAGTGAAGGTGGACTGCTGCATTAATGAGTGAAATGCCACTAACTCCAATGGGAACCACAGGGAACTAATGTGGACTAATGCTGCTCTCACATCATTCCCCTTCAGTATAATGCAGTAAAACAATGCAGGAGTGCCTGTATGCATGTGCATGTGCGCATGAAGTGTTTTAAGAATAAGTGATCAGTTGTTCAGTTTGTCACCTAGACTCTGTGTGCGTGTGTGTGTGTGTGTGCGTGTGCGTGCGTGTTTAGGTGTTCAGTATGTTCCTGGAGACACTGGTAGATTTCATCCAGGTCCATAAGGACGATCTGCAGGACTGGTTGTTTGTCCTGCTCACACAGCTTCTGAAGAAGATGGGAGCGGACCTGCTGGGATCCGTGCAGGCTAAAGTGCAGAGAGCCCTGGATGTCACAAAGTGAGTTGCACATTCGTATACAGACAAGCAAGTACAAATCAAGATTTTAAAAAGTGGCTTTTTATCTTACTTTACCAACACATTGTGGTCTATATACAGTCCAATGTGATCATTACGTAGACCGGACAAGTAAAACGTTTGAGTGATAACCTATAAATTTAGTTCAGTTTGAACCCCAACAATCAAATACCGTAGTTTTTGGGTCATAAGCCGCTACTTGTTTACCACACTGTGAACACTGCGGCGTATACTGACATGCAGCTAATGCATTTTTTTTTTCATGCAGCCAAAAAACATTTTGCCTGGTAACAGTAGACCAATAAAATTGATAAGTAGTATATATACGGTATATATTTTTACCGGTTGTTAAGAGACGTTGTAATGTTGTTTGTGCACTGTTCCGTAAAAAAAACATAAGCAACGTAATTTGTGTGTTACTGATACGTACATATACTTAAAGGTAGCAGTGTTACAGGCGCTGTTCGAGGAAAAAAAAGCATTTGCAGTATGTATTTTTGTATCTTACCATAACGTTTATGTTACCATGTTTATGTTACCTTACGGATTAAATTAAACGTTAAAAATCCTCACGTGTAATATTTCTGTGTAAATATCTAATATTACGAGTGAAACGCATACGGCTTAAAATCTGGTGCGGTCTGTACAAGTACAAAATTGATTTTCTTTCTAAAATTAGAGCATGCGTCTTTTAATCAGGTGCGCTCTGTAGTCCGGGAATTACGGTAATCCTGTGAGCGCAAGCACATGGTGACAGTGGGAAGGGAGCAGCAGGACCAGGTTCATCTGCTGGGACTGGTAGGGGGTGAAGAGAGGGAGACGGGACAAAAACTCCACCGTGGAAGAGAGCCAGAGATATTAATAACTAATGATCAAATGCAGAGTGGTGTATAACTGCAGATAGAGTGAAAAAATGTGAGTGAGAAAGAAACGCTAAGTGCATCATGGGAACACTGAAGCAGGCTAGGCCTATTGCAGTATAACTAAGGAAGGATTCAGGGCACCAGATCCAGCACTAACTATACACTTTATTAAGTGTAGCTTAGCTTTAGATGAGATCAGGACTGCTCAGGTGGTATGACCTTAAAGAAATAACAAACTCATCATCTGTTTATAAAAATTTACTTCCTGAGGTTTCTTAAGAAAAATAAATGTAATTTCAATAGTATGTCTGCCTTTCCTAAAGTATTATAGTAGTTTAAAGAAGCCAGTAAGACTAAAACTGAGAGGAAAAAAAACTAGAAAAAAAAAAGATTTGCGGTCTGAAATTTCTGACGCCCTCTTTTGTAATTTTCACATTTTTCCACACATTTCAAATTATTCTGGCACGTCAGGTTGGAGCCTCTGACGGGTTGTTTCCGGGCCCCAGGCCTTATGTTTGACACCCCTGCTGTAAAGTGTTCTTGGCGTGAGTCCTACAGTGAGTGCTTTCCTCCAAAAACCAGCAGCAACCTTCAGAGTCAGCACTTTTTTATCTCTATTATTTCAAATGTTTAGTAAAAGTGCAGAAGAAGAAGCAGTCACACAAATCACCACTTTGCATCTGGCACAGTGGTTACTCGGTTATTTACTTGCTGACAGTCCTTGAACTTTATTTTTACGATGCATGTTATGGCACAAAACGTGAAATCTAAATCTGTGGTTTTTTTGTCTTGCAGAGAATGTTTTCCCAACGACCTCCAGTTTACCATTCTCATGAGGTTCACTGTGGACCAAACACAGACGCCCAACCTCAAGGTAAATGACAAGTTGATATAATACATGTCTGTTTAGTGTGTATGTGAGAGAGCTGAGTGTGCAAATGTCTGTGCAAGGGTAGCATGCACACAAAGCTGGAAATTCAACTGACTGCTGTGCTAATATTATTACATGCCTGCCCATTGCTGGCTCTACGTCCCAAAACCCTGAATCCTGGGCTGTGATTGGATAGCGATTGATTGAGCCACTCCACTGGCTACTTTCAAGCTTTCTTCCTCAAACTCCTTTTTCATCTTTACCCAGCATACCTCTCTTTCGTTTCCCCTGATTATCTACTACTTTATTCCTTGCTCCCAACCCTTCTTACCCTTTTATCTCGCGTGTTGCTCCTGCCTACTCCCACACCCTTTTTCTGCCTGATGTTTAACCTGTTTCCCTTTATTCCCTCTCCTTTCCCACTAGGCTTGGGCAGTAAAGGATCTTACAAACAGTAGAATTTCACCACCTGCTGCAAATATTGCATTTCTGAAGACTTAACTACATCTTCATAGTAATTTTGTTAAATATTTTGCTATATCCAACCCCTCTGACATGTAAGAATTGGCTTACATAGTATCACAGTATGAGTCTGACTCATTTTGTAAAACCATACAGTGTAATTTCAGTATCGCCCAGGTCTACTCCCCCATCTCTTTTTACTCCTCTACTCTCTCCATCCTCCTGCCTGCTTTCCTCTCTTGTTCCCCACCCCTCCCCCGTCCTCGTCTCCCTGTCTCTCTCCGTTGATTGACGCGGTGCTTCTCCTCTCTCTCTCTGAAGCCTGTGCGGAGCTCGTGTTGCGGGCGAGGCAGGGGAGGGTCCGGGGTAAAATTGTTCCCCCCCAGAGCGCGGCGCCACGCCTGCTCTCTAGACGAGCAGGCCGCAGCCTGGAGCCAGTCCTCCCAGGTCAGTGCGCTCCGGGGGGAGCAATTATGTGGCGCGCACGATGCTGCTAAGTGATTTGGAGGAAGTTCTGGTCCTGAGGTGCATTTGTAGAGAGACGAAAGACAATCAGGGCAGGAGTCAGTTGTGGCGTTTCAGAGGCTGAGTTGAATTTTTCCATTTATTGGTTCTTTAATATTGTTATTTGTCATTGTTTTTATGTTGATTGATTTTATTTTTGTACTATATAACGCATGACTGCATTTTAAACTTTTCTCTCATTCAGTGGATCATTTGATTTTTCAGACCTGCAAGAGATGCACAATCTGCTGTGGTTGTACATGCTGACTCACTTTTGTGTGTGTGTGTGTGTGTGTGTGTGTGTGTGTGTGTGTGTTTGGTTTTGGTTGTTTCTGTATTTGTGTTTTTACAGGTGAATATTGGCTATGCATATTCACCATTATAGGTCAGCTTCCTAACAATTTGTATAAATGTGTGTGTTTGCGTTGCAGGTGAAGGTGGCTATTCTGAAGTACATCGAGACACTGACATTACAAATGGAAGCTCCGGACTTTGTGAACTCTAGCGAGACTCGGCTGGCTGTTTCCCGCATCATCACCTGGACGACTGAACCCAAGAGCTCAGACGTCAGAAAGGTATCGTCTCACAAACACACACACAACATAATACGTCCTCTTGCAACAGGCCCCTTTTGTTTTTGAGGGATGTAATTAAACTTTATAATATTGATTTAAAGCAAGTCAGGCTGACTGTTGAATCTGGATGTTCAACACGTTCTCACTCCCAAAGCGTAACATTTTACGCTAGGTGACAAATCGTCACCATATTACGTTTTCGGCTACCCACCACGTTCCTAAACGATGACCTCGGAAAAAAGAGGAAATATGAGAACCGTCTGGACTCCATCTACACATGTTCGCGCTTTTTCTTCAAATCGCTTAGAAACACGCTATTTAACATCATTATAGTCCTGGTTAAGATCAGGAATAAAGTTATGGTTAGGGCTAGGGATAAGGTTAGGTTTAGGGCTGGAACGTCTATTACCGCGGGAGCGTCATTGCACTGGATTCCAGCCATAACCAGCGGCGTACCATAAGAACGCCGAAGGTCTCCTTTCGGGTTTCTCAGGAACGCCGCGGGACGTGACAAAACGTCGACATGTTACGCCTCGGGAGTGAGAACGGGCTGGGATGTTACAACAAAAGCAGACTAAGTGTATGATACCACAGGTTTGAAAAACAGTTATTGCACTGCTTTACCAGCAGAGCTAGGAATTTGCATGGGAAGAAAATCGTGTGATCTGTGGAGTATCCTTTCCATAGCTGCAGAGATGGTTTCAACTTTAGGCCAAGCAGTCTTCTTGCTGCACTGGCTGTTCTCTTCCAATAGCTGAAAGTTTTTGTTTCATTTTACCTGTTATTTTCTCTTTAATTTCATGTTGCGTTCCAGTAGTTTGCTGTCATTCACACTCTGTTTAAAACTTGTGACACTGTCTAAATTTTTGCCACAGCATATTCTTTTGCCTGGCTTCAGATCAGTCTTCTGCAAATGCCTGTCTGCACGCAGACAAGAAGCACACAGCAATCACGTCACCTTTGCTGGACTATAAATTTTGCTTGATAGTGACAACCGTAGTTTTTGGTTTGTTTTGTTTTTTGTGTTTAAGCTTTATCTCATAACTATAAACTTGCATCTCATTTCAAAATCATAAATTGAAAAGGATCCTTGTCTCAAATGCCACCTCACAGCATCCCATAGTTAACCACAGTACTACTTGCAAGAGCTGCCACCCTGTTTGGTCCACAAAGTCTAAGTGTGTATTTTGTGTGTAACAGGCAGCCCAGTCGGTGCTAATTGCCCTGTTCCAGCTCAACACTCCAGAGTTCACCATGCTGCTGGCAGCTCTGCCCAAAACCTTCCAGGATGGAGCCACCAAGCTACTTCAAAACCACCTGAAGAACACAGGCAACGCTGCACAGGTAAAACATACTCTGACTCTAAACTGTGAATGCTTCAGAATCACAGTTTACACCTGAACTCTGTCATACTGCAGCAATAATGGCGTACCTCTTTGTTGTTTTGTTACCTTCTCAGGCACCAATGGGCAGCCCTATGACACGTCACACCCCCCGATCTCCAGCCAGCTGGTCCAGTCCAGTCACTTCGCCCACTAACACATCCCAGAACACCCTCTCACCAAGGTAAACACTTGTCTGACAACTAGTCTTACACTGTCAAATCACTGTTATACAGTAAACAGTATTTTAGGGTGTTTTGTGGCCAAAAACACGCCTGTGGGGGAAAAAAAGTAAGCTTGCAAATTACAGCGCATCTTTTACTGTGTCTGTGCAGTGCTTTTGACTATGACACAGAAAACATGAACTCAGAGGACATCTACAGCTCACTGAAAGGTGTCACAGAGGCGATCCAAAACTTCAGCGTTCGCAGCCAAGAAGACATGAATGAACCCGTCCAGCGGCGAGAAGGAGAGGAGGTGAGTGGAGGAGGCCAACACATTTGGGACATAAGTTCAATTCCTGGTGTGAATACAACCAGACCTGAGTGGTTTGTGTAACAGTTGGCACAATTCATGGGGGCGTTTGAACATTTTCGAATATTTTTATTTGATTCTACCTTCATGAGGTTCCCCCACAGCAAGAGACAAGCAGCGGTGCAGCAGCCAGAGATCATGAATGTCAATAAACTTGTGGGAAGTGGGCAGGTGTGGAGTTAAACTTCTCTCAACTTGGAGGCGAGCAATTGAAACGAGTACAAATGGAAGCGAATATTACCGTCGACTGGCCACTGAGGCTGATAAATACACTATATGGACAAAAGCAGTGAGTCACCTATAGGAGCTGCTCACCCATGGAAACATGTCATGAAGCTCCTGGTGCGCAGTTTTATGCTGATGTTAGTGCCGTCACCCAGCTGATCACGGACTTTCTAAAGAAGCTAACAAAGGCAAAGTGACGAAAGCAAAAAATATCCAGAGGTCAGAACCAGACACAAGCTAGCAGCCTCAGTTTGAGCAAAGGATCGAACTATTTACTAACCAAATTATGGAGACGGGTGAAATGGGGAAAAGGGTTGATTTGCTGTTATCTGGTGGATTTGTAAACATACAAGTTTCACAAACTGGCTCGTTGAAAGGGTGACATCCAGTTATAGCACCACACTTGAATTCATATGTTTTTCCCATATAGTGTATATTATAGGGTTGCCTTTGACTCGTGAGCAGTCACCACGATGCAGTGCATGGTGGGCAAATTGCTTTATAGTGACCAGGCTTCTGAATGGTCTCTTTATTTTGATACCAGATGAAAAATACCACCATGGTGCGGTCCTAACGCAAGCAGCTATACACCACGATCTCGCCAGTGGTATAAAAGTGTGAGAGTTGAGACTTTATTCCTGATAAAATAAGCAAATACCAGAATAAAAAGAGGATAAGACAGAGTATTCAGACTTTGTAATAGGTTTTGACACTCTCATTTAGCTCTGCACTCAGAAAGTATTATATTGTCTTTTGACCTTACAACGTGTTTTCCAAGACTTGCAGAGGCTTGAAACACCCACACAGGTGTACTGTAGGGGACGCTGACATCTGATCTGCCCCACCACCCGTCCGTTAGCACAGGGAGTGAGAAGCATACATTGTTTATGGGACCGATAACTGTGAAAAATAATCTTCTACAGCTGCTGATAAAATCCTGTTTGTTTTATTTAAGCCTAGCTGCTGAAAAGCATCCCCAGTTATTATTTTGTGATGCTTGTGTAGGTAGCCTGCTCGTTCAAAACAAATTTATGACTTCAGACATGCCAGGTCTTATTTTGCAGCCCCTTGCAGTGACCCCGGTTCCTTTTAAGGACACGGCGTACTCTACTACAGAGGTGTGACCTCCTGACATTTTCCCCATGAGATGCAACTGAAACCCAAGTGGCCCACATGTCATCAGCGTGCCAATCACAGCACACCTGACTCATCAAACCCCAGCTTAGAGCATTTAGCGGCTCGAGTGTAAATATACACATACAAATAAGAGCACCTTAAACCCTGCTCAGCTCCTCACCTGGTGCTTCATGTGTCTGCCTTTTTAAGTGATAGAGTTGTTTTTGTTTGTGTGTTTGTTTTCTTACGCTCTCATTTAGACAACAAGATCCTCTCTAAAAAGGAAACTTCATCCAAAATGTCCTGATATATGAATGAATTTTAAGAAATCGAACGGAGACATGTTTGTTTTAATTCATTTGGCGTATTTACCATCTAAACACATAAAACAACTCTGCAGTTCAGACTGTTTTTAAACCAGAATTTTTGAACTCTTTAGAGTTTGACTGCTTGGTTCATTCGCTTTGTTTTTAATCCACCTTTGTTTTCAGGGGGGCAGCGGGACAGATGGCAGACTGTCAGATATGGGCGACGGCGGGCGTATGGCTCTGGACAATAAAACGTCTCTCCTCAACACCCCCCTGCTCTCCTCCAGCCCCCGAGTATCCCGCGAATACTTGTCCGACTCTCCCTTCAAACACAGCCGCAAAGACACCAGCCTGGACGACTCGGAGCTTCAAACTGATGGTACACAAAAGCATTCTGGCGGAAAAGGACAAATAACGACCTCGAGATATCGCTAACGTGGGTTATTTTCTGTCGCCTGTCTCCTCACAGATAGCAGCCTGGATCAGTCGGAGCTGGTGGCCGAGCTCCTCAAGGAGTTATCCAATCACAACGAGCGCATAGAAGAGAGGAAAGCAGCACTGTGTGAGCTGCAGAAACTGATACGCGAAAACACCCTGCAGGTGTGGGATGAACACTTCAAGACCATCCTGCTGCTCCTGCTCGAGACGATGGGCGACAGAGAGGTACACACACACTCATTTCAAATCTACAACAACCAAATGAAAGGGGAGGGAAGAGAAAAAAAAAAGCTAAAGTCGCTCACTTTTCTCACTTTTATCTTAAATCCTCTCTCAGCATGTGATCCGAACGCTGGCTCTGCGGGTGCTGAGGGAGATTCTCAGCAAGCAGCCCTGGAGGTTTAAGAACTACGCAGAGCTCACCATCATGAAGGCCCTGGAGTCTCATAAAGACCCTCACAAGGAGGTGCGTTTATCCACACCCACGCTAATCTGCTCACTGAGAAGCTGATTTTATCACAAAGCATTATCAGACCATGAAGCGGTGGTGCAGAACACTCCTTTATTTTATTTATGGATCATCAAAGCTGGAAAAAAGCTTTGTGATTATCACTTGGTCATGTTGTATATTCATATTTCTCTGCTTTTCTGTAGGTGGTTCGAGCAGCTGAGGAGACGGCAGCCATGTTGGCGTTGTCCATCAGTCCAGACCAGTGTATCAAGGTGTTGTGTCCCATTATTCAGTCAGCTGATTACCCAATCAACCTGGCCGCCATCAAGATGCAGACCAAAGTGGTGGAGAGGATTCCCCGCGAAGGCCTGATTAGCCTGCTGCCCGAGATTGTACCAGGACTGATACAGGTAACATGCAGCTCAGATATGTAACTGTTCATTTGGAGGATGAAAGTGTCAGCCGTGCCGTATCGTAGTTGTCTGTCATCTGCTTTATCACACACAGCCTTCACGTTCGTGCATAAATATGATTGTTATGAAGAACTGCAGATCTGTAAGTTGTGTTCTTCTGTCTGAACAGGGTTACGACAACTCTGAGAGCAGCGTGAGGAAAGCCTGTGTGTTCTGCCTGGTGGCCATCTATTCAGTGATAGGAGAGGACCTCAAACCGCACCTCAGCCAACTGTCCAGCAGCAAGGTAAGTTGAATTCATCGTAAACCAGCTCGCTAAAGATGTGTCGTTTCTCATCCTGGTCACCAGGATCTTTCTGTGTATACATTTCAAGCTCTCGTGTCAACAGGTTTCCACCAAGAGTCATCTTTTTATTTAAATTTTTTGTTCAGCTGATTTTTTTACTTTTATTTTTATTGCACAAAAGACAAGAGTGCGATAGTAAAGTGCAAACTGCATCGAGTACAGAAACAACTACAATATACTGCTTAATAACTTCGGCTGCAAAGACAGCAGCTAGCACAAAGCTAGCCAAGAACTTGGAGTGATTTTAAAGCTGAGTGAAGGCCGACCCGAGCCCAGCAGGCAGGCCCTGTAACTCAGGCAATGATGAGCAGTCAAGCTTGCAGCCTCTGTTTTTAAAGTGGCGATCACTTTGAAGTCTCTTGGCGCTAGTTTTCGTCTTTTGTTCTTATATGTAAAAACAAAGAGGAAGATTCTATGTGCGTCCTCATTTGTGTCAGTGTGTGGCACTGTGGCCTCAGGTTTGTATAATTCAGTTAATTGGTCATTGTGTGACCGTACGTATCAGGTTATTGTGCTGAGTAACTCAAAAGTACGATAAGTAGTATAAAAAGTTACTTTCTCTGATGATTAATTACATAACGTAGTACATCAATTTTAAGAAAAGTAATGAGTAATGTATAACACGTTACTTTTTTTTTTTTTGAGTAACGACTCCAGCGCTGGTAAATACAGATGTAGGTTCAGGGTCTGAAAAGTGAATTCAAAGCCTTTAACCTGAATTCTTTCTGAAAGCCAGCAGAGGGCGACTCCTCTGGTTGCAAAATATACTTTAGAATTGTATACAAGTGTATAAGTAAAAATGACACCTCTTATCAGTTCATTTGTGGCCTCTGCAAATTGTTTCCTGATGTGGTTATGATCATAATCTCCGAGAGTCTTACTGGAAATAACATGAAGTGAACAGTTTACTGTTTAAAGTAAAGTAGGTGATTTAAAACGTGGCTGCTGTACCAGCATGCAGCGTCCTCAACAAAAACGCTCAAGTGAAGCACTCACATCAGGACACGGAGCCATTACAATCACTACATCCATCCTTTATAAACAGTTGATGGCAACAACCATAAAAGATGAGTGATGAGTCTGTCAGCTACAGACTGATCTATTTGTGATGAATCACAGGGCGACCTTTCAAAAACGGTCATGTGATAAACATTACTTGCCCAAATAATGCAGGAACCATAAACGCCACGTGTCAGCACGCGGTCGGCCTGCTCAGCTGGAGTAACTGCAATCTCGCCTTTTGGATTTTTAGCATCTCTTGGCTTGCACACATTATTTAATTCATGTTCTTCTGTTTTTCTATCTGCAGCTGAAGCTGTTGAATCTGTACATCAAGCGCGCCCAGTCCGGCACCACCGGCAACGAACCCTCAACCGAGGGCCTATAGGATACAGAGCGCCGTCCCACAGGGCAACTACAGAACTGCAGCTATGCCCACCCAACATAAACCATCTGTTCATGAGAACACAGCAACACAGACTGAGAACAAAGCATTCACAGGAGCAACTACATACACCACACACACAGCTGTTAGGTACACACAGTCATCACACGTGCAGAGGAGAGTTGTAGTTCTGCTCGCCATTTCTTAGGATCCCTTCTGACTGAACTGAACCCTCAAACTCGGATTAAACTTAAACAGACATGCAGTCACACCCTCCACAGGTTTGTCACTACTCACTCAAGGATGAAGATATTAAATGCCCGTCCTGTCCGCTCCGCTCCATATCCACAGCACATTCCCTCTGAACAACATCTCGAGGTCAACAGGAAGTGGTGCATCTGCATGGTTCTCATTTCCCTGGGCGGTAATATTCCTCCAACGGTGCTGTCTCCTCGTTTCCTTCTCGAACACTCATTAACTTGGGGGAGGGGGGCGCCAGGTAGACGGGAATGTAATTTTACATTATGTCATAGTTTTGATTTCTTTTACGCAGAGAGGTTTTACTGCAGTGGTTTTTAATACCCGGAGTTTTCTCTCTCACTCAGACGTCAACACGTGTTTCAAAAAGGTGCTGATGAGCCTGAACGGTACGACCGGCCGACCCCAGCACACGCAGCACTAACACGAGTCAAAGTGGGTCCTGCCTGCTCATAGCAAATACAGTACATACAGATTCCAAAGTTTAGGAGGCGTTATGTGCTTGGCTATGCATGAGACGAAATTTAAAAGATTAATAACTTTTTATTGGCGTCTGTTGTCAGAGTGCTCTGACTGGGGTTTTAAATTAATGTGAACAGTGTCTGCCCCTTTCAGATAAATCCATGATGTCCTCCATTTCTCCAATCTCGCATCAGTTCTGGGCAACACGTGGAGAAAGATGGCTGCTTACTACATGAAGTATGACAGGACATGGCTTATTATCACATAGTGGATATGTATCTATATATGATATTAAAATGGAGTATCCAAATAACAGTGTCATTCAGGGGAGTTCCCCAGAGGGGGGGTGCACGCGCGCACCTGTGCCCATCCTTGTTTTATTTTTATTTTTTTTCCCTCTCTCTCACACACTTATTTTGTTTATCTCTGCTGAGAAATTTGTAGAAATTTATTATTTACAGCTCTGGGAAAAAAGAAACAAGTCATGTGTCACTTTTCTCCTGTTCGTGTCTTTCTTTCCTTCCTCTTCTTGTAACATTCTAGTTTTCACTGTTGTTTCCTCTGTGCATTTACAAAGCTGTGCTTACAATAAAATAAAGAACTTGTACAGATCACGATAAGCCCCGCCTCTCTTCATTTCTGCAGCATAAGAAAGTGCTGCGGTAAGGCAGTGAGCAGAAATACCGTGCATGGGTGGGTCTGTACCTCCTCACAGGAGTGTTGTTCATGCAATTCAACAGAATAGATCTATTAAATGCTAACAGAATGTTGCAGTTTATCTGATCCAGGATCAGTGATCAAACCTCTACAGTATCATAAATGTTTCATAGTCCCTTAAAGAGTCCCTTCATCCCAAGTTTACACAGTGTGACTGTGTCACAACCACTCAATTTCGGCAAACACCTCAGTATGAAAGCATCAAAAATGCAAAATTACTTTACTGATTAATATTTAGCAGTTATTTTATTCTAAACAATTTTATTCTGAGCTGCACAGGTGATCGGTTTTATGTTTGTTTTGCGAGAAATTGGTGAAAATGTGCGTCAGGATTTTATCCTTGCTTTGACAAACCAATCAACACCAGGAGTTTAATTTACTGTCTGATAAAGCAGTGGGTTTTCCAGCTGTCGCTCTCCCGCAAAGAGCAGCAGCAGGTGGGAGATCGTGGACTTGTTAAGAAACGTTAAGAAAGTGGGCTAATCCACACATGGAATAAAAGATAACATTTAGGTCTTATGCAACATAGCTATTTGTGAAACTGGTGCTATATTTCATGTATGCATCTGTCCTCTGGGCTGTAAATTTAGGAACAGCTAAAGAGAGTCCCAGATACTGTCTGACCTGTAAAACCCCCTGGCCTTGCTGCACTCATCTACAACCTGCCAAGACCCTGCAGTTCATACTGAGTCTGTCCTCAAAACAATTCCCAACTTGGGAAAACATATCAGTTACACTGTTGAAGATGGATGTGGTATACTTTAGCAGTTTTACATACTTAAAATTTGCATTTTAAATCAACTCTTGTGTTTTGCAGGTAACAACTAACCGTGCTTGTTCCCTGGCTTGGAAATCTTGACTTTTTGACAGTTTTCTGCTTAAATTGGCTTTAATTTCCTAGAACAAGAAGACCTTGTTATGAAAAGTGAGTGTTATTGGTCGGAAAGGAAGGTTTGTTTTTAGACTTTCCATGATTTCCCTGAACTGGGGTGCATGTAGCTCTTGGGCAAGATACTAACCCCAAGTTATCTAACTCCAATCCATCTGTCGGAGTATGAATGTGTGGGAATGTTGGATAGAAAGCACTTGAGCAGGTAGAGTAGACAAGTGCTAAATGAGAATCAGTGTATTTACTGTAACGGTTCTTTTTGCAGGGTGAAATGATTGTTCGGCATACACCTTTAAGGACTTTAGTTACAAAGAAATGCACAGGTTTGAGTTTATTTGGGATATTCTGTAAACCATATAAGGTGATGTGTGCTCACATGTCACTAATATTTGGTGAATGTCCCTTAGTGAGTCGCACCTCAACTACACTCTCTTGGTAGGCATCAACAAGCTTCTGGTGTCTGGTATAGCGTTCATTTAAATCAGTTGGTTTCTTGGTAAGGATCTGGCTTTTAGGGCTCTTTCACAAATTTTCAATAGGATTGAGGTCGTGGCTTTGGGAAGCCTGCTCCAGCAATGTAATGTCACCCTACTTTATCTATTACAAAGCCAGTTGTCGTGTGTGTTTGGGATCATCCTCCTGTTGGAACACCTAACTGTCTTCAAGTTTCAACCATCTAGATGTTGATTTGAGGTAAAGTTCTAGCTAATTTGTCTAGTGTACTACTGGCAACAAAACAGCCCCAGAGCACGATGCTACCACCACGATGCTTGACACTTGGTAGTGTTCTTAGGCGTAAAAGCCTCACCTTTATTCCTCCAAATGCACCTGGTGTCATTGTGACCAAATAGCTTCAGTCTTGACTCGCCTGACCATTGCTTCTTTAACCAACACAGCAGTTTTCAGTTGTGCATTTATGTAACTAGAGTTACATGATAAATTTGCTTTTGGTGACACTAAATGTGGAACACATGAGTGATGACTGCTAAAACGGCCTCTGTACACCTATATACATACTGAATTTAAAAACATATTATTTATTACATTATTCAAATGTACAAGAACTGATTGATTTTTTTTTTTATTGTACTAATTACTGTATTCATATATTTTTAAACTGAAGGGGGGATTTTTTTTATTAGTTTTTTTTTTTTACAAGCTGTCCATTGCAAATCCTTAATTTAAAATGAACAAGTGTTATCCAACACTTATGCAACATGAATTTTAGTTCTGTCCATGCTAGACAAGTCAAGTTACTCCCTTGTGTTCTTTGATGTTTGCATATTTGGTGTTGACTGTCGTGTGTTTATGTCCATATTCTGAATTTCCTGAGTCAGACAGAAGGACTTTAAGTCATGAGGCGGGCCTCCCCTCCACCTCCCCCTCCCTTTCAGGGCCAAAATAGCGTGTGTGCCCCACTCAGAAAACCAGACTTGAGAGTGCGCCACGTCCAGGGTCCGAGCGGTGCGTAATTATTGACCAGAGAGTGCAAAAGGTCTGCAGCCATCTTCTGTGGACTGGACTTTTCTTCTTGCTCGACACTGACATGAATGAAACACTGATCTCCCGTTTGGACCTCGTCGTCGGAACCGGGCCGAGTGGTGTTTATGTGCAGGAGAAGTGAGGAGAGGGCTGATGAGACGCGATGTTGTTCTGGCAGCCGTACACTGAAAACTTCCGAGCCCCCCTACAGAGACAGAACAGCGGCTATACGAGGTATCCGCTCATGTACAGCTCAAATGTAAATGTTTGGTTTAGTTTATATCCTCACAGTGTGGGTGTTTGGAGTAATAACAATACCTGTTAATAAATAACTCTCGGTGAAAAGGTCAGCGCCCTGTCGCTGTATTTGCATCAGAGATATAACATTATTTTTACTTGACACTGAGGGGTGTTTGCATGCCTACGGGGTTCATATTTGTTGACAGTAACGACTTTTTGTAGATATGTGTTATAGTTTCAGGGAGGCAGAGCGCAACTACAGTTGGACACAATGACGGAAGCTCGAAGGTTGCTGATTGGCTAATAATTCTGCGCTGGGCACAGAGGACGGCCTCTGATTGGCTGGACTCAGTCTTTGGCATCCTTCCCGAGGCTGGCGGTGGCAGCCCTGCGGGCTTCAGAGACCGACAGTCTGTGTGCTGAGGGAGCCATGTTGATGCTCTGTTTTGTGTCAAACGCTTCATTTTGGATGGTTAACGGACTGCGTGTTAAAAATAAGGAGCCCCGGCGGTGATTCCAGCCCCGCGATGAGAAGAGGAGCGCGGAGTGGGATGGTAGAGGGAGCGCCAGAGGAGAGCCGCTCTTAGGTTACCGGACGTAGCTGAAAGCAAGTGAAGTTGATGCTAGTTAGCTTCATAGCTCGGTAGCAACAGCTGGTGCGGGGCGCTGCGTGGGATGCGGTGTGTGGATTAAAACGATATTTTTTCCTCCTTCTGCTTGTGTCGTTCTGCTGAACAAACGTCAGTCGGACTGTATGAAGACTCGATACTTGAAGCAACAAAGGCGCTGCTGAATTCAGGCTAGCTTGCTTAAGCTTCCTTTTCAAAGCTAGCTGTTAGCTAACATTAGCATGCTGACAATCAGCTCGGATCTTCAGTCACGACTAACTATTTACTCGCTGAGTGGGTTCTAGGTTACTTTCAGGCAGTCTGCCTGTCTTGGAGCATCCCTTTGTGCGAAAATAAACTCTCAGAACTCGAGTGGAGATATGGCAATGCATCCAGTCTCTGTGGAAAGCTACCGGTTCGCCTGCCCAGCTTGCCAGGGAGCGGCTAGCGGGCTAGCAGCATAACTTTCCTCTCACGGGTGTCATTCAGAAGCTGCAAAGCTCACTTCCTCTATAAGCCGACCTCTCGTACCTGAAGCAAGCTGGCGGCCATCCGAGTAGAAGCCGAGGACAAGGAGCTGGGGCCGATGGCCTGGGTGCTGAAGATGGACGACGCCACCATCGAGTCGGGGCTGGTTCACGACTTCGACGCCAGCCTGTCCGGCATCGGGCAGGAGCTGGGCGCTGGAGCCTACAGCATGAGGTTAGAGAGACTGAAGACAACATGCCAGTCCCAGCTTCAGTGGGTCGTTGGCAAGAACAGCTCTCTGAGTGTTAACATTACAGCCCCCCTGGGTGTGTTACTCCCTTTGTGTTGGGTGTTATGGTTTCTCTTTGTTTTGGGATTTGGACTCGAGCAGTCACTGCGGGGTGCCACGATCAGGGATGAAGATTAATTTCTCTAAACACACACAAAGGCAGGGAAGGGGACACGTGTCATACTGCCAGGGACAAAGATGTTTTGTTTTTGTTTTTTTATCAGTCTGCACTGTTTCTCAATGCACGTGTATGCTGCAAGGACATGGGTAAAGTTTTTGTTACATCCAGGAAGTCAGGAAGACACTGTTCTGGTTTTAAGAACAGGTCTGTGGCTTTGTTTCTCATAATCAGGGTTATGTGAAAACAAGTTGCTGCACATGTCTAGGTGGATGGGACTGAATTTAGACTGTTTTTAATGGAGCTGTTCTAGGTTATAAATGAAATTGCTCAAGCATTTTTTCCTCCCTCAATTCAGGACATATATGCACCTCATCTTTTATCATTGAAGCCAGTATTTTTTTTCTGTTTACCTGCTCCTGACCTCTCTAAGCAGTGATCCCTGATCATAGGTTTTTAGTCTGAATATTTTAACTCTGACATTTTTGAAACTCCTGCTTTCCTCCTGAATGATTTTCTTCAGAAAATGTAGCAGCAATTTAGTCACTGTAAATACACTTAATGTATCTTTTTACACTAGCACACCATCATGTTTGGCCCATTTGTTGTTTTTTTTGGGGGGGGGGGGGTGACTCCAATAGTATTGGAAATCAAAAATGTATTTATGTATTTATTTCTCATTGCATGGTTATATTTATCCTAAAACTGTTTCACCACACAGGCAGTCCATAAGCATACTAGTGGTTTTTCTCCAGCAGCAAACTTTGAACTGTTGGGAGTCTGGTGACTCTGAGATGGTGGAC